GTGCACTTATCTACATGCAGGCAATACACACATACACATAAAAATAATAAATAAATAAAAATTTAATATAGGTATATAATATACACAGGGCAGAGTTTTAGAAGGAAATACTGTTATAGTGACTTTATTTTCACAAATATGAATATCAGGCCAGCAAGATAGCTCAACAGATAAGGGTTCCTGCTGCCAAGCATGACAACATAAGTTCAAGTCCCAGGGTCCCCAGGTTTCGGAAGGAGAGGACTAACTGCAAGTGGTCCTCTGATCACTACACATGAGCTATAGCAAATGAGCCCACACATACACATACACAAAAATAAATGAAAGAGAAGACATGACATGGTGCTTTTGATGAATGACTACTTTTCATTTTCAGTGAGACAGGTAAATGCAGTGTGATTATTGCCCATTGGTACACATGAATCCTCCAAAGCCAGGCTGCTGAGGACAGGGGCACGGTGAGCACGGCCTTGGTTCTTCCTGTCTAGGGATGGAGGACTCTGAAACCATGGAAGATGTGTACATGGCCTCAGTGGAGACAGACCGAGGCGTGAAGGAACAGCTGCACCTGTACGACACCCGAGGCCTGCAGGAGGGCGTGGAGCTGCCGAAGCATTATTTTTCATTTGCTGATGGTTTTGTTCTTGTGTACAGTGTGAATAACCTTGAATCCTTTCAAAGAGTGGAGCTTCTAAAGAAGGAAATCGATAAGTTCAAAGACAAGAAAGAGGTGAGTGTCACATGAGGACGGAGCGTGCCGTTAGGATTTCCACGTGTCTGACGGGCAGTGCCAAGCGCATTCGGCACTGTTTCTTGCTCATTCACTCTGTACAAGGTATGCCTTCACGGCTCCGGAGCCCAGCTAGGATGCTTATCTTTCCTAAAAAAAAGCAAGCAAACTAGTAAGTAGTTGGCCTCTGCCCACCTACCAGTTTCTGCCTGCGTGGCTGGTTCTCCTGCCCGGAGCTCTCATCTCGGCTTCTCTACGTAGACCCTTCATGTGCTCGGTCATCATCCTCAGAGCCACACAGGCCCTTTTAGCCTAGATTCTTATGTTTTATCTACTTTCATTTTATATGTATGAGTGTATTGCCTGCATGTGTGTAAGTGCACCTGTGTCCTGCAGTGCCCTTGAAGGTCGGAAAAGGGCATTAGATTTCCCTGGAACTGGAGTTACGTTGTTGTCTGGATGCTGGGAACCAAACCTGGGTCTTGAGCAAGAGTAGTCAGTGCTCTTCCCCACTGAGCCATCTCTACAGCTCCCGCTGTATTTAATTTTATGTTGAGTGTCTTGAGATTATCGTAGGCTCACGTCTGTCTTGTATTTTCTTCTAGTTGATGGTTTACTGATACAAAGGTGGGATCTTGCTGTGTGGCTCCAGCTGACCTCAGACTCCTGTGCTCTGGCAGGCATCCCCCTCACACCCGTAGGTGTGCACTGTCCTGCTCACAGCAGTCCAGTGCTGCTATCATCTTGCAAAGTCATAGTACGGTGCTCTGAATAGGATGTGTGCATGGATATAGTTGAGATTCAGAACTTCCAGCACCACAGAGATCCCTCACACATACGCACAAATAAATAAATGAAAACAAAACCAAAAACAAGCTGGGCATGCTGGGGCAAGTCCATAACCCCAGTACTTGGATGCAGGGTGTACACTACAGGTTCAAGGCCAGCCTGGTCTACATACCAAGTATTCTAGGTTAGCCAGGGCTACATAGTGGGACTGTATCTCAAAACAGAAGGAAAAACACTTAAGAAGGGCATGTAGAGAGGACTGCTGTGAAGTCTGGTTCCCACTGCATCCTCTAGTGCCAGCTGTCCTGGCCTGGAATGCACTGTGTAGATCAGGCTGGAGATTGGCCTGCCTCTGTCTCCCAAGTGCTGGGGTTAAAGGTGTGTCTGTGTGCCACCACCACCACGCCCACTGTGCCCTTGACAGCCCGAGGTTCTGGTTCTGAACTCAGGGACAGTGTGTGTTGTGATAGAACCCTGTTTAGGAGGCCCTGAGGTCCAACCTCAGCACCCATACCTCCCTTCCCTTACGCATGCTTTAGAATATTTACTAGTTTGAGAACACACTTGGTAGGCAAGCTCTCCACATCCCCAGGCCTCCTTGTTTCTTTTTTCGGTCTTTTTGAGACAGGGCCTCCCTCTAGCCCCAGCTGGCCTGGATTCGCTATGGAGACCAGGCTGGCCTCAAAGTCCCAGAGATCCGCCTGCCTCTGCCTCCCGAGTACTGGGATTAAGATTAAAGATGCGCCACCACACCTGGCTTCTTTTCTTTTTTTTTTTTTTTTTTTAATGTTGGGCTGTTCTCTAGCAGGGAAACTGTAGATGGAGATGTCAAAGGGTAGATTAAAGATGCGCCACCACACCTGGCTTCTTTTTTTTTTTTTTTTTTTTTTAATGTTGAGCTACGTGCCTCTGCCTCTGAAATGCTGGTGTTAAGGCACGCACCATTCTCTTCTTTCTGACAGTGGCCCATGCTGGCCTTGAACTTGCAATCCTACTGCCTCAGCCCCAAGAGCAGCTGGGATCACCTCAATAAAAGTTTGGTAAAGAATGTTGATCTATAGCTCCATCTTTTGCTGAAGCTTCAAGGTACTAGTGCAGTCTTTAATCTCCTTCCAGGTGACGATTGTCGTGTTAGGAAACAAAATCGACCTTTCGGAGCAGAGACAAGTGGACACCGAAGTAGCACAGCAGTGGGCAAAGAGTGAGAAAGTGCGGCTGTGGGAGGTGACAGTGACGGACCGGAGGACTCTAATCGAGCCCTTCACCTTACTAGCCAGCAAGCTCTCCCAGCCCCAGAGCAAATCCAGCTTCCCTTTACCCGGGAGGAAAAACAAAGGGAACTCCAGCTCCGAAAACTGAAGGAGCCTTATAGGGCAGTGGCTGTCGTCAAATGTCTGTGAACACGGTGGAAGGCTGGTACTTAACACAGGGCCTGTGGCTACCTTTGGCCCTTAGGAAACCTCTAGGTAGTAATTTAATGCACTTTAGGTTATAATTAAATTATTGGGCTAAGTTTACTGTTGCCTGACATAAATTATATTATTTAACACCTATTCTGACATTTATTTTGCACTTGTTAATAATAGCAAAATAAAGTTTGGAGAGCACACAGTGCACCCAGGTGGAACTCCTCCAGCCTGTGTCAGAAGCTGTCACATTCATTATAATTTCCCAGATTCCTAATGACTGTGAGCATCCAGGCGGACATCAGAAGACAACTTTGTGGAGTTGGCCCTCCTTTTACACGGGGATCAGATTTCACACATTGAGCCATCCTGACAGGCCTATACCTTTGTTTTAAAAAGAGTAATCATCTGCCGGGCATGGAGGTGCACACCTTTAATTCCAGCACTCTGGGAGGCAGAAGCAGGCAGATCTTTGAGTTCAAAGCCAGCCATCTACATAGTTCCAGGCCAGCTGGGGCTACAGGGAAACCTGTTTCAGAAAGACAAACAAACAAAGGTTCATCATCTAGTATCTAAGATTATCAAATGTGACAGTTTTGTGTATGCAAACTGAAGCAGTAACGGCTAACAGTGTGGACGCTACATGAGTTCTTCGTGGAGGGTTTGCTCAGTAGAACAAAAGTCATGATTTCGTTCACATTGAGTCTAGTAGAACTCAAGGTCAGGATAAACAGGATTACAATCAGAGTTTTTTAGGTCTTTTTGAGACAGGGTCTTCCTTGTAGCCCCAGCTGGCCTGGCGCTTGCTGGCCTTGAACTCTCAAAGCTCAGATTAAAGACGTGCGCTACCACGCCTGGCCAGAGTTTTTCTATTTTGCAGTTAGCCCTGTTGATAAACCAAATGGGATTTGGCTTGAACTATTCAGCTTTTTCTAAAACATATTCAAGTCTACTGTGAAGCACCTGGATGACCTCTGCAAAGAGTGTGCACTCCTTAGCATGCTTCATATGAAAAGAACCAGCAAACCAGTGGGGCGTGAATGAACACAGCAGGGCCAGGCCTTGTTCGTAATGTTTATTAGCACAGTAACAAAAGCAGACCCGACAAGTCTGCAACACAGAGCCGTACTGAGCGAGTCCTGTTCCACGCCGCACAGTTAACAGCTTAAGGTATTTCACTACAGGTTCTCCAAAATCCTGATTCAAACCTTAATAAAACGTTAAAGTTTATTTGCTTGTAAATTAAAATACATTAACTACTCATCTCCTACTCGGTGTCTTACAAAGCCGCTGTCCATTTACTATACGAGATGACGCTATCATCACTGTTTCCTTCTTAGGACTTTACATAAATGGCCCATGTGTATAACCTGTACAAAATTAAGCTGTTTTTGAAATTACAGACTAAAAGCAATTGAACCCAAATGTCTAAACGTACATTCCGTTCTGTACTAAAGATCAGCTAATATTGCAGAACTGATGGTTTTAAAAGTTGCTATCACCAGCTTTTGTCTACTGTAGCAAGATACCTTAAGTTACAACAAAATCTTGGGAAATAAGACTGAATAATATCTGTTATAGAAATAGCCTACTCTGTACCAACTCCCACCCTCTCCCACCCCTTCAAACGAAGCAGCTCTCTTCTGTGACAGACAAGAAGAACTGTGCACCCCCAGTTTATGTGGCGTATCTCTTGGTCCACTGTCTGGCCATCCTGTCGTGCTCTGCCCTGTTGGTCATGTACTGAGTGGCAATGCTTCCCACCAAAGGGTCAGCTGGAAGAAAAGCATGGAGATTATTTTGGAGAAAGGCAAGTAGACACCTCTGTGAAATTCCATAGCAAGTACTTGTCATCAAGCCCATGGCTGAAACACGTCTTTTTTTTCTTCTGATCTTTAAATATAAAGTAAAACGGGGGCAGAATGTCTGACTTGACTTCCATACCTCTCCCAAAAGGTTAACACCCAGTTCTGCTCTGTTCTTCATGTGTGACCCAACTTAAGAGTCTGGGATGTTTAAGGCTCCAGAGGGCCAGCTGTGTGCACCAGTAGGCTCCCCATGGATGCTGTGGTGTCTTAGCGGCTGTTTCACATTACACCATTCACTTGCACACCATGTGCCTAGAAAAGGCTAAGTTGGTTAATCAAAACTTAGGCCTCATTAAAGAAAACCCCCTGGACCTCCACCTAAATAAATATCTTTTTAGAAATGAAATGTCTAATAATTGATATGTCGGTTAGGCAAGGAAAGAGTAATTCCCTTTTACTTTAAAAGGACTAGCCCTGGGGGCTGGAGAGATGGCTCAGTGGTTAAGAACACTGGTTGTTCTTGTAGAAGACCCAGGTTCGAGTCCCAGCACCCACATGGCCGCTAACGACTGTCCATAACTCTAGTCCCAGGGGATCCGACAGGTTCTTCTGACCTCCTTGGGCATTGCACAACACAGGTACACTGACCTACATGCAGGCAATACACACATACACATAAAATAAAAATAATAAATTAGAGGCCAGGTGTGGTGGTGCACGCCTTTAATCCCAGCCCTTGGGAAGAAGAGGCAGGGGGATCTTTGTGAGTTCAAGGCCAGCCTGGTCTACATAGTTCCAGGACAGCTGGGGCTACAGGGCGACTGTCTCAAAAAGACAAAAAATTAAAAAAAAAAAAAAGGACTAGTCCCGACACAATCACAGTTCTGTAATCACTAAGTATTTGGCAGAAAAATACCACTTTCAAAACTGACCCCTGGCTGTGAGGCAGATGTTTAGTGAACCAGCACTGAAAAACGACAGTGTTGGTTTGCATGAGCATGTCCCCACAGGCTCCAAGTAGTCATACATTTTGTCCCCAGTTGGTGGTGATGTTTCGGGAGGTCTTAGAAAGTGTGGCCATGCTGGAGGAAGCACGTCACTTAGAAGAGTCCTTAACCCTTGTGGGATCTCCAGTCACTCTCTGCTTCCTGTGCTTGCTGTAAGACATGAGAGCTTAGCTTTTTGCTCCAGCCACCTCTGCCGCCATGACGGACTCTTAATTCTTCTGGTATCATAAGCCAAATAAACTCTTCCTTCTATAAGTTGCTTTGGTCAATGTTTTTATCACAGCAACAGAAAAGTACCTAACACACACAGCAAGGCCACCCAGCCCAGCTCCGCACAAATGCCTATTCTCAAAACACCCAAGCTGAGCCTCCCTTGATTGAAAATTCCTGGAAGACTTGGATTTTCTGTCTTTAGAGAATCTCAGTCTATGTGGTGAGAGCTTCTGGGGAAGCTGGTTATCAGCCTTACCAGGGTTGCAGTCTGTGAGGAGTGAGCAGATGGACAGGAGGACTTTGGAGATGGTCAGGGCGGGGCTCCAGTTGTCCTTGAGGATGTCTAGACAGATCACGCCTTGGCTGTTAATGTTGCAGTGGTAAATTCTTGTCCGAAATGTAACCTAAGAAACAAGGTATTGTTAAGCAACCTTCAAACAGCAAGCTTTTACGTTTTTAGCCGAGTGATCCAATTGAGAACAATGTCCCAGATACTTAGTTTTCAAAACGGCAAAGTAACCAGGTTGAGAGGCAACTGATGACTGACGTGCTCGCTGACTGACACCAGCTTGCCTCATTTGGAGGTGGTGCCCACTGCAAAGTGAAGGGACTACTGCTTCCTCAGTTCCTGATTAGTGGAATTTTTTCCTGTTTTTAGATAGGGACTTGCCATGTAGCTAAGGCTAGCCTGTGGCTCACTCTATCCCAGGCTGGCTGCAAACTCTTGATCCTTCTGGCTTAATTTTAATGTTTTAAATATGGACGTCCTTTTTTTCCTTCAGCCCAACCACGTTTTATGTATGTGGGACACTGTTCTGCTGTGTATCTAGAGAGGCATTCTGGGACTGGTGCTACTTGACTCCTACTCCTGTTAGGAGACAGTGACCTGCAGGACCCTGGTGAGGAGGCCTCTGAAATAGGAACATTTCATCGTTAGTTTGCTGACCTCTTGTGTCCATTGGTAGTAATACATGTCTTAAGTCTTAAGCACTTACTCCAAGAGTCAACCTTGTAGTTGTCACCACAATCCCTTAAAGCTAGCAAACACTGCACACACAGGCCTTTTATGAGTAGATCTAGACTGTCTACCCAAATCACAGTTTATTAAAATGGAGTACCCATGGGGAAGGAGGTAGCACAGGCCACCAGAGTTCTTTGTTGAGGTTCTGATTTTTACTTGTGAAGTGTATGGATAAAAAAATTCCCTTTTACCAATCAAAAATTAGCTTTTCAGGGCTGGAGAGACGGCCCAGCGGTTAAGAGCACTGATTGCTTTTGCAGAGGACCTGGGTTCGAGTCCTAGCACCCACATGGCAGCTATGAACCGCCCTTAACTCCAGTTCCAGGGGAGTCTGAAGCCCTCTTTTGACCTCCGCAGCACTGCATGGCATTATGTACTCACATACATGCAGGCAATACACTCATAAAAATAATAAAATATATATTTTTAAAATTCGCTTTCCAGTTACCTCTTGTTGCTGTTCCTGTTGGTGTCTAACTCCTAATTTCAAGAATGGAGGCCTAGCACTGCGGATCTGAACTAGACCAGTCAACGAAGAGCAGGTCTGCTTCCAATAGCCACATGGCTGCACAGGCTTTAACTGTTAGAAGTTTGTCTATGGGGACAAGAGGGACTGATTCTCAGCTGCTAATAACACTACTATACATAGCACAATTTTAAGCCCTTACTCCTAGAAATGCCAAGTGAGGCGAAGTCAACTCAAAGAGGTCCTTTGGTATGCACGATATGCTTGGATTTAAGGCATAGGAAAAAAGAGCCTAGTTGTGATTACTTTTGAACCCTCAATATCTCATAGGAATTACTAAGAATAAATTGGGAGATTGCTTACCTTTGGAGGCTTGAAGGGATATTCTGGTGTAAAAGTGATGTCGAGGAAGAACACACCACCTTCATACACAGATCCTGGAGGCCCGAGAATGGTTGACCGCCACTCGTAGATGTTGTCCCCTTTGGGACCAGCACTGTGAGACAACACAGACAAGGAGGTGGTGCGGCCTCAGTGGAAAAGAGCTCCATGCCCATTTGTTCAGTGTCTGGGCTTTCTTCACAAAGTATCTTTCCAGCAGAATGTGATGCAAACCCACCAGCTATTGGCCAAGTGAGCCAGGACAGAATGTCAGCTCTGTCCCGCGTCTACAGTACTAGCTACGGCCAGACACCCCAACTCACAGATGTCCTGATAGATGTCTTAACTTTTTTGTTGCTGTGATAAAACACTGACCGAAAGCAACTTGGAGGAAGAAAGGATTTAGTTGGCTTACATGTCCGTATAACAGTCCATCACTGAGGGAAGCCAGGGAGGCACCCAGGCAGGGCAGGAGCCTGCAATAGAGACCTCAGAGGAGCACGGCTTGCTGATCGCTTCTCCTGGCTGCTCAGCTAACTAGCTATTTCTAATTGATGTGTATAAGTGTTTTACCTACATGTATGTAAATGAACCCATGTGTGTAAGCAGGCAGAGGCCAGAAGGTGGCGTGGATCCCCTGGAACTGGAGTTACAGTTACTAGCCACCATGTGGGTGCTGGGAACTGAACCCGGGTCCTCTGCAAGAGCAGCCAATGCTCTTAACTGCTGAGCCATCTCTCCAGCCCCTCAGCAAGCTTTCTTAGACAGCCCAGGCCCACAGTGGGCTGGGACTCCTATACAGTTAAGAAAATGCAATTCTTAGGGACCACTGTTAGCTAGCCATGTGGGTATGTGGGTGATAGGAATCGAACCCAGGTCCTCTGCAAGAGCAGCCAGTGCTCTTAACTGCTGAGCCAGCCCCCAGCTTTCAGATTTTCTTAAATCCTAAGTTTGTTTGCATCCAAAATATTTCAAAATTAAACTATATAATACACAAACACACAAGGCCAAAAAAAAAAAAAGGTTTCTAAGGTCCCTTCTTCCCAGGTGACCAGTCTGTGTCCAGCACAGTGATTAAGAAACATTCTTGGAAGCTAAATTGGTGACAACTTTTTTTTGTAGAGCTACATCATACATGTAGCTCTGCATACATGCCAAGTTTTATAATCTTAGATATTAGATGACCAACTGATATGATGTAATTATGAAAATTTTAAATACCAAGAATTTAATCTCCATGATCTTGCCCAGACTAAAGTGCCTAACAAGCAGACTTGAGGGCTGAGTTTGGACACCAGGCGGCTGGCCTCATCGGTGAACTCGTTCAGTGAGACCCAGGCTCACAGAAATGGTACACAGAAAGTGCAGAGACATGGAGAAGACCCACGGGCACACATGTGTAAGCACACACACACACATTGCCCTAAATGCCCCTTTTTTGGTCCCCTAAGACAAGGTCTTGCTGTGTAGCCCAGGCTGGCTTGGAAGTCATGGTCCTCCTGACTCGGCCCCACAAGTGCTGGGTTACAGGTGTGCTGCCCAGGCTCAGCTTGGTTCTTAGACAAGTAAGACTGGAGAGGAGGAGGTGTCAAGTAGCTGATCCCAGTTAGTCAGTTTTTATTTCGGTATTAAACTGTCACCACTTGTTGGACATTAACAGAACCCGTAGTCATTAGATACACTTGGTTACACCCTCATTTGGCTACAATATTCTTCTAAATATTGTATTGGGTTCCAGAGTACTTTGTATTCAAAGACCTAAAAGCTTGCCCTACAGTTTTAAAACCTATGAGAGAGTAATGTACCTGCCCAGATAAGCAAGCAGTGTACTTCAGGACTGAGAAGGAGAAGGGCAAGATCTGGGGAATGTTGGCTCTGTGCTTGGAGAGACCTACGTACAGTCAAATTTCTACGCAACAGGCAAAACTGCTCTTTTCAGTACACTTAGGGTGTCAGATCTACCCCCTCACCGAATGCTCATGCAAGAGGCAGAGGGCCAAACGGCAACAGTTTTGGTGCTGTACAAGGCAAACACTGACTTCAAGAAATCTCACGTTACCTAGCTCAAAACCAGGTCTGAGTCTTTCAGGTAAGGAGAAGAAGAGGAAGCAGGAAGGAGGGCCCCTCTGTGACTATACTTTCTTTAACCCTAACCACAGCCCGTTTTCTTTCAGACTGAAACTTAGGACGGAGACGTGACAAGGACAAGAGGAAGCTCACCAAAAAGGACAGGGTGGGGACGGAAACACCAGACACTGACATTTTAAAATATGGGCCCAAAGTGGGGTGGCAAAGGGCAGAAAGAGCTCAGGCTTGAGTGTGTCCTAGCTTTGTGACCTTGTGCAACTCACTAACCCATTACAAGCTGCCAGAGCAGAGAGAACCCTACATGAGCTCGGGTTCTCACTGACAGTGGTCAGCATTCACGCTATGTGAGACTGTAATCTCGGTCCTTTGACAGGAGGCAGCCTGGGCTCCAGATGCATTTAGACTGGCCATTCTGGAGATCGTTCTATAGTTGTCTGTGTTAAGGGACTGATTTCCTATTTGTACAGGGCATTGACACAAGGTGGGGTGCAGGGACTTTCCTTTTAAGATTTCATTTTTATTTGTGTATGTGTGTCTGTGGTCACATATACCATGTCACAGCTGGAGTTACAGATGGTTGAGAGCCGTCCAACATGCATCCTCTGGAACGGCAGCAAGCTCGTCCTGCTGAGCCGCCTCTCCAGCCTCCCAGGGAGAAACCTAAAGCAGCCCTCTGCAGGGAACACGGTGACCCTCCACTGAAAGAACACTGACTATCCTCACTGTCTATCTCCTGAGAACAGAGGATCGTTCCCTTCCTACCCTGACAGTAGTTAGGAGGTGGGGCCCTAGGAGATACTTAGGTCAAGGAGGTGGAGGTCCTCAGGAATGGGATTAGTGTCTTGAAGCCACCCTGAGGGCGGAGCTTGGAGACAGACTCTGGACGACGCCTTACCACGCACTGAAGCTGCCAGCACTGCGATCTTGGGTTTCTAACGTCCTGAACGGAGACAGCTGTTCATAACAAAATATTATGGTCTAAAGGTGCAAAGAGGCTATGCAGAAGCAAAGCGACAAGGAGAAGCTAGGCCCACAAAGCCCAGGCTGTATTCCAGCTGCCTCCTAAAAACACTAGTGGTCTGGCTGGCGAGACGGCTCAGCAGGTAGAGGTGCTGCCAGGTCCGATGACCCACTCCCGAAAGTTGTCCTCTGACCTCCACATACACACCGTGGCATGCACACACCCACATAACATACACACACATTAAATAACTAAGAACTTTAAGTAAATAAGGCATACTTGTCTTCATATTCAGCTTAATGACGCTAAGAACCTAGCGTTCACTGGTCTGTTGGCTTTTCTGTTGCTCTGATAAACACCATGACCAGAAAGCAAGGTGGGGAGGAGGGCTCAGAGCCCCTTATAGGTTACACCCATGGAGGGAACACAAGACAGGACTGAAGCAGAGACCGCAAGGAAGGCTCTGACTAGCTTGCTCCCCACTGGCTTGCTTGGTTACCCTCCTTAGCTCAGGCCCCGTCCAGGAGCGGCACTGTCCACAGTGGGCTGGGCCCCCCTGCATGAAGTATCACTTAAGAAATGCCTCATAGATATGGTCAATCAGATGGGGGAAATTCCGTAACTGAGGTCCCTCTTCCCAGGTGTCTCTGGTTTGTGTTAAGCTGACAAAAACCTAACCAGCCAACCTAGAAAAGCCAAGAGGCCGGTGACAGAAAAGGTAACACGGCCTCATGAGGAAACACCATGACAAGACGCTCAATGTGCAGGCTACACAGACTACACAGGAAGCGGAAAGGTCTCCAGATTCACTGGGCATCAAAATAATGTATGGAACTAAAGCACTACAGATCCACCTGGCTCTGTCCCTCCTTCCCAAATCCGGGGTTACAGACATGCGCCACCACACTCAGCTTTTTAGGTGGGTGCCAGAGAGCTCTAGAGATTCACCCTGTCTACCTCCCTGGGGCTGAGATTACAAACGCACATCAGCACAGCCAGCTTTTTATGGGGGTTCTGGGCATCAAACTCAGTTCCTCCTGATTGTGTGGCAGGCACTTTACCAACTGAATTATCTCCCCAGAAATGCAATTTTTTAAAATGGTCAATTATTCTGTTTGAACATGTTAATTACGTGATCAGAGTCTACATGAAACTGTGACTGAGAAGAGGCCATGGCTTTGCGTCTAGGCTTAAAAAATGATTGATTGATTTATTTATTAATTTACAGACATACACAGGCGCCAAGGATCCAAGTGCAACTGATTATGACTAGTAATAATCAGACACATACAAGAGATGCGTGTGCCAATATCTCAGTGTTAGTAGCAAAAACAATGAGTCTTTCTGCAAGGAACAAAATATTCTAAGATGAAATGGAGATCTTTTTTAAAGGTTAAAAACTCATCCAATTTTATGTCTTACAGGGCTTATATTGAGTTCAATAATATATATTAATTCA